TTGTTCCGTAAATGCATTCCTGGATCTTAAGGGGCTTGAGGTTATAGTTTATTACATAAAAGTCACCTTCTGTTTTTATTAAATCAAAGCCGTTTGGAAACTTCCATTGAGCTCAAGGGGCTCAGAATTTAAGTTCGGGTGTTGCCTCACTCTGTAAGTTGGGAGGATATTTCAGATGCGCCCAGTGAGGGGTTGGAGGGTTTCTGGTGGCACTGAAATGCGGAAAGAAGATAGGAATGCTAATTGAAGCACACGTGACTGGTGTTAATGACAAGAATGAGCGGCCTGCATTAAGCTCTTCTGTCTGCAGGGGGCTGTGCTTAGCACTTAGAATAGATTATCTCACTTTAACCCCACCAAGGGGGTGCAAGGAGGCTCAGGGAGATGAAAACCCTTGTCCGAGGCATCCAGGCAGGGCTGGGCGAGCCAGGATTTGAACACATGTCTGCAGAGTCTGTGCTCTTGATCACCAGGCTGTACTGCCCCAGGGTGATGACCACAGTCAAGTGGAGCCTGTGAAGAAGTGACCTGTCCACACTCTTGGTGGCAGGCTGTGCAGGCACCAGGGACAGGAAATGCCTTCACTAGGTCCCTCACCCAGGGAGCTCACAGTCAACTGCAAGGTACAAGGCAGAGAGCTAAGTGCTGGGGCCGGGGCAAGCCCAGCAGGCCTCTAGGAGCCCAGAACCAAAACTAATTGCCATCAAGTCAGCTCCATTCATGGCGACCCCGTGTGTGTCAGAGTAGAACTGTACTCCATCGGGTTCTCAGTGGCTGATTTTTTGGAAATGGATCCCCAGGCCTTTCTTCCGAGGTGCTTTTGGGTGGACTCGAACCAGCAACCTTTCGGTTAGCAGCCAAGCACTGGACCATTTTCACCACCCAGGGACTCCTAGGATCCCAGAGAAGAGGCTTATTCTCAGCCTGGGAGTCCAAGAAGGCTTCCTGGAGGAGGCAGTATCTGGGCTGAGTCTTAAAGGTTGAGTATGAGTTAAGAAGGTGGATGAAGGAGAGAGGAAGGAGGGCACACCAGGCCGGTGGCGGGCTGGTGTCTCAGCCCCGAGCAGAGGGTGAGGAGGAGGAGAGGGGACTTGGGATCCAGCACTTTGCACAAACGTCTGCAGAGATACACTGGACCCAGATAACGTCATGTCTGGCTCTCAGCTGGGCTGTGAGCAGCTCAGGGTCAGAAGCCATGTCTTTTCGTCTTTGAACTGGGGTGAAGCATGGTGACACTGACATCCTCTGGGTATCTGTCCGTCCCCCCACCCCTCATCCCGCTGGGAATGGCGTCGGCAGTGCGCTCCCTGTTGGTGGGTCCACTATGGAGGGTGGTCCTGCTCCCCCACCCTGAGCCCCTCAGCTCTCCCTGGAAGAGGAAGGGGGTCCAGTCACAGGCTTGCCCTCTGGCCTCCACTCCGTCCCGACACACATCCCACTGTCCACTACCCAGGCAGGACAGCAGAGGGGTCAGGACGCAGGGCTCTGGAGCCCAGCCAGGTTGCCTGTGTCCAAACTCTGGATCAGCCATGAACTTCCTGCTAACTCACTGCTTTCTGTGCACCTCTGTTGCCTTATCTGTAAAATGGGCAGGGTAACAATAGTTTCTACCTCATAGGATGTTTGCGAGGATTCAAAGGGCCATCTCACGTAAAGTACTTGGAACAGGGCCCATTATGGGGTAAGTGCTATGTAAGTATTATTATTATTATTTCTCAGGATCCTACTGTTATCTTCCTCCTGAACATGGCCTTTGCCTGGGAAGGTAGGAGGAGGATCTGTGAGGTTCCGCCCACTTGTATCTCCAGCTTCGGTTCAAGGGCAGATTGGGGAGCTCATGGCAAGTATTTCACGTCTCCAGTGTGATCCTCATGTTGGGAGGGTCACATGAAATGACAATGACTCCCTTGCCCATTATAAAGAGTGCAAAACTGTAGTTATTCGTATTCCTTAAATCTCCAGAAACAGGAAGCTTGTGAAAAATATTATGAATATGTATATATGTAATTTATGTATACACATAGTTAACCGTTGTTTGTCAGACACTGTGCTATGCAAGACTCCATATAATCCTCCCAACGGCCCTGCGAAGATAACGCAGCTTTGCAGAAGAGAAAACTAAGGTTCAGAGAGGTGCAGCAACTTGCCCAAGGCCACACAGCTAGGAAGTCTGACTCCAGATCCTGGCATCCAAGGATCCCAGAGAAAAAGTTTCTTAGGATCCCCCTACTTCCCTGAAGGATTAGGAGTGCCCGATTCACTCCGTCCAAGCCCTCTAAACCTTAGCCTTGAAACGTGGCCTGGTCCTGTGCCATCTGCATGATCAGTGGTGGATGGACCATTGTGATCCATCGGGTTTCCATAGGATGCTTTTCAGGAATAGATGGGCAGGCCTTTCTTCCTAGTCCATCTTAGTCTAGAAGCTCCGTTGAAACCTGTTCTGCATCATAGCAACACAAAAGCCTACATTACCAGATGGGTGGTGGCTGCACAGGAGGTACCTTGACCAGCTATTGAACCCGGGTCTCCCACGTGAAAGGTGAGAAATCTACTACTGAACCATCGCTGTCCTCTGAGCAAGTCACGTAGTCTCTGCTTCTTCTCATTTTTGAAGTGGGTTTAAGGATTCCCGCCATTGCTGTCAACGGGGATGGATATATATGGGTGGATGAGTATGTACGCGTATGAGTTATCAGGGGTGGGCAGCGGGGGCGTGGCAGGCACGGGTGTGTAGATGTTCACGCACGAATGAGTCTGTTGACGTCTGCACATGGCACCTTCTCTGTGTCACGATGGCGTCCAGATGATGTGCCAAGGGGCTGGAGCCTCAGTCCGTTTCTGGTGTGATTGCCGTTGTAGGAGGGGACGTCTTTCGGTCGGATGGCGCCGGAACTCCCTGTACCACTTAGGACGTGGTGAAGATGCGGCAGGGACAGTGGTGGCTGTACATAAGGTGCATTGGTCAAGAATTGAACCTGGGTCTCCTGCTTGGAAGGCAGGAATTCTGCCACTGAACCAATAATACCATTTACGTTCATTGAGAACATATGCGCACAAAATAGCCATGCACGTTTTGCAAGAAGATGGTCAAATATAACAATACACATTGAACAGATTAAGCTGGTTCTGTGGGAACGGGTGTGGCGAGGGGCAGTGGGAGTAGGAAATGGGTTAAAAGGAAATGAACACAATAAAAAAATGAAAACAAGACAAGTGTGGGGGCTCCCAGAGGCTAGCGATGGAAATGAGGGGGGACCGAGGGATGTAATTATCTCAACTCTCTCTCCTCTTCTGAGCTCCAAAAAACCCCAAACAAACCTTCACCCCAAATCCCCGCCTGGGGTTCATGCCTGTTGCTGCCCAGCCCAATGACCTGATGAAGCCACACTGGGTAAGCTCAGAGCCAGACAAGCAGACTTGGCCCTGCCCAGGGCCTTCAGAGCCTGCCCTGAACCTCAGCCTTATCTGCCAGGCCGGAAATGAACTTGGATGAGCAAACAGCCAACAGAAGTAACAGTGTCAGCTCAGCTGGCTGAGGCCCAGTGCCTGCGAGGCCCGCCCAGTCCTTGCCAGGAACAGGATGGTCACCAGGCAGAAGATGCTACTGCAGACAGCTCGCCCTGCACACACCACCGCTGCAGACCCAGGGCTCAAGGTCACATCTGGTTCCTGCAGCCAGAAAAAACCAAAAAACCTCAGGCAGAAGTTACTTGCTTAATTTTTATTAAACAGACATGTATGTGGAGTCCCTGGGTGGCATAAATGGTTAAGCACTGGACTACTAGCCAAAAGATTGGTAGTTTGAACCCACTCAGAGGCACCTTGGAAGAAAGGCCTGGCGATCTGCTTCCGAAAGGTCACAGCCTTGAAAACCCTATGGTGAAGCTCTACTCTGCATACCTGGGGTCTCCATGAGTCAGAATTGACTCCACAGCAACAACATCAACACATTCCAGGCATTGTCTTAAGCACTGTTACAGATGAGGAAACTGAGGCACCAAGAAGGTCAGTAGTGTGCTCACGGTAATACCAAGAGCTCAGGTGAGCAAGGAAGTCCCGTGAGCCCTTCTGGACACAAGAGGACGCTCCACTCAGAGACAGGGCAGGTGCCAGGGTTCAAACTTGGGGCCTGCTGATTTGCCAAACCCTCTCTTTCCTTGTCCACTGCCTTGCCTCCTCAGAACATTCCAGAATCCTTCCAGGTGCCTCCTGAGAGCCCCCAGGAGACCAATCTGGCAGGGTTCAGGATGTGCATTTTACAGGTGGGGCAAGAGGAGATTCCAGACCCCCGAGAATTTCCCCCACGTCCGTTGGTTGGCATCTAGCTAAGAGCAGTAACAGCCTAAATGGAAACACATTGGCTCCCAACCAGGGTAGAGTGAGGGGAGCTTTATTCACCCATCCTCTATAGAGGAGTGGAGCCGGCCGCTCCTGGCCCCGCCTAGATGCTGGGACGCAACAGATCGTGGCAAGGACACACCTTTTCTCCTCTCCACCTCCCCACACCTGCAAGGTCGAATGACCAGTTCTGTTTTATGGAGGGACACCTGAGACTAGGGCAGGGGTGCTTGCATGAGGTCACACGCCTGGTTAGTGGCAGTGGAGGGATTTGAACCCACGGGTCCTGAGTCCTGATGAATCCAGGGACCCGCCTCCTCCCGCTGCCACTGCTGGCCGGGGCCCAAGTCCCTGTGGGGCTCAGGGACAGCGGGGGTCCAGGGGCACCTGGGCAGCAGATGTCAGCCTCTGCTCCCTCCCCAAGTCACTGCCTGGGCCCCTTCCCAAATGGCGCCTTAAGTCTTTGAAGGACTCGCTCCTGTTCTGTCCTTGACTCTGTCTGTCTCCCTCTGTCTCTCTCTCCCTCTACTTGTTTTTCTTTCAGCCTCTGGCTCGACTACTACCTAAAAGTAGATGGTTCAAACTCACCTGGCCTCACCGCGGAAGAAAGGCCTGACAATCTGCTGCCATAAAGATGACAGTCAAGAAAACACTCTGGAGCAGTTCTACTCTGTAACACGTGCGTCTAAATCGACTTGAGAGCAACGGATTTGTTTTTTTTTTATTTCTTGTCTCTCTCTCTCTCTCTGTCTCTGCCTCTCTCCCTCCCTCCCCCCACCCCACTGAGTCCTCCTTTCAGAGAAGCTCAGCCGCCCCCTTACAGGGGCTGAGCTTGCTCACCTGTGTGTCCCTGACTCACCCAAGCTGCCAGAAGCACACATTGGCTGTCCCTCCAGCACAAGCACAGCCTTCTAGAACCTTCTCCTTGGGCGGCAAGCCCCAAGGCTGAGTGCAGGGGCCTTATCAGGGTCCGTGGGCGGGGGTGGGGGGGTGGGGGCTGCATGCATCAGGGGAAGTTGGAGACTCTTCCCTCATCCTGCAAATCGCCCATTTGGCTTGGCTCCTCTCCCCTTTGCGGCCCCCATGGCCCAGCCAGACAGCCAGGGGGCGGCCTGGGGCCTCTACTCAGCTCTCTCTGCCTCTTAGAGACTTTGGGGAGCTGGGAGGCCCCTCGGAGGGCAACCCATTTTGTAGCTGGGGAAACTGAGGCCCAGAGAGAGGGAGTGACCCTCCCTAAGCCACAGGAAGAGGTACTTGACCTGGCTTGCGGATGGTGCATCTACAGAGCCTAGAACTGTCTGGCTCCTCACCACGTTCCATATCCCCATTGCACAGATTTGCAAATGCAAGCACAGAGAGATAAAGTTACTGGTCCAGACTCACACTGGCTTTGAACCGAGGACTCTCTGACCTCCAGACCCTGCTCAAGGTCACAGCCTCAGCCAGCAGCTGAGATGCACTGGGGCTCCTGGGCACCATGCTCACCTTGCAAATGTCCCTCCTGGGGCAGCATCCTCACCTCCCTGGGGCCCTGATGTCTTCACATTGCCCTACTTCCCGGCTTGCCCCATTCGCCAGATCCCCCACCCCACAGTGCCGAGAGAAGGGGCCTCTGGGTCCCTACAGATGACTCCGAGGAGACCCCTAGGGTTACCGTCCCTGGGCTCCTGGAGTCCGGGGAACCTCAAACCCCACAGCAGCAGCATATGTTCCTGCCGCCAGCCTGGCTGCCAGCTGCGGGACAGAATTAGCTGTGTCGGGAGGAGAGAATTTCCTCCTTGGTCCCACGCCCACACACTTGGGGCTCACGCTGAGTCACCGCCTTGGGGCCAGGAGGCTCTGGCTGCCTTTCAGATGGCCCCATTTCTTGGGGGTTTGGGGGGGGCCTGTTGGAGCTTGGGACCCTGCCAGGGTGGGCAATAGCAAGGAGCTTATCCCTTGAACCTGGTCAGCCAATTTGCTCAGCAACCAGGAGGCCCCAGGAAACCTCCAGCCTTTGCTGAGAGCAGAGAAGCAGAGAATCAACAATAAAACAAAACAAAACAAACCTAACCCGTTGCCTTCGAGTCGATTCCAACTCGTGACAACCCCATGTGTTACAGAGTAGAACCGATCCATAGGGTTTTCTTGGCTGTAATCTTTACAGAGGCAGATTACCAGGACTTTCTTCCTCAGAGCTGCTGGGTGGACTCAAACCACTAACCTTTAGGTTAGCAGCTGAGGGCGAACCGCTGGCACCACCCAGGGTCAGAGAGGCAAGGAGACCCCAAGATAGCTCCTCCACTGCCTGACATCCCCCGATTAGAGCTCTACGCCCTTGGACCTTGAAGGCTTTTCCTTCTTCCAGGCTGTTGTTTCCAGATCCACACCCCTCCCTACTTTGTGCCCTACAGTCCACCCTGTACGAATGACCTCAGTAGCTCCTCGCCCTCTGACCTCTAGTTGGGTTGATCAATGAAAGGCAGCAGCAGGGGCTGCAGGACGGGCAGAGCGAGGCTGGGTGTTTTCTCCTCCCAGCTTCCTCCCTGCAGGATCTCCACGGGTTGGTCACAGCTACCCTCTGCGGGCCCAGGTGGCCACTCCCTCCTGTGGCCCCTGCAGCCCAGGGGTGGGAAGATCTTCTTGCCATTGCTAGGCCTGGAGTGCTGCATGGCTGGCAACACAGTCCACCCCTTTGTAAGTTCCTCCCTTGATGAGGCTCTCGTCAATTACACGTGCCATTCATTTCCTGCTCAAAAGAAACCAGTTGCTGTCTCGTCAATTCCGACTCATGGCGACTCCACGTGGATCAGAGTAGAACTGTGGTCCATAGGGTTTTCAATGGCTGATTTTTGGGAAGTAGATTGCCAGGCCTTTCTTCCGAGGCGCCTACGTGTGGATTCGAACCTCCAAACCTTTTGGTTAACAGCCAAGCATGTTAACCCTTTGCACCACCCAGGGAGTCCTTCCTGCTGAGACCCTGACTGATACACCAGTCCCATGTCTATCGACCCATCCTATCCACTTGGTCTCCTAAACACTTCACAAATCCACCCATCATTTCTGCCCACCTGTATGACAGTGATAGGCTCCTAACCAGTCTCTCGTTTCAACTATGATTTCATTTTCCACCTAGTAGCCAGAGAGACCTTTTCAAAATGCAAAATGCATCATGCCCCTTCCTGCTTAAAACCCCTCAGTCACTGCTTATTGGTCTTAGAATCAAGAACAACTTGTTACCAAGGCCCCTAAGGCTCTACCGTTCTAGCCCCGCCTACCTTAGGATGGAGCTGATGCCCGACCCCAGCTCCAGCCCCAACGCTGACTCAGAGCAGGTTCTAGGGGTCTCAGGTAGAGTATGGACGCTCCCTTGCAAATCCAGCCCCATTTCTGGAGTCCCAGCTGCTCTTGCAGCCATCCCCCCACTCCAGCAGGCATTTCTAGCCACAAAACGCCCCCAGCAAGAGCACCTGGATGGACATCTCTCCTTCCAGGGCAGAAAGCCCCTCTGTCCACCAGCACTGGGCCAGTGCACAAACACGGCATCCTCCAGCCACCCAGCTTGCGCACAAAGCCATCACGCTGACGGCCTGTACATCTCCCCATAAACACTGTCCCAGCCCCTGGAGGTGGCTTGTAAACAATTTCCCCCCTTGCTTATATCCCACTGGACTGGGAGGCCTAGCACCCACATTCAGTTAATCCCTGAAGTCAGCCTTGAGTCCACTCATGCAGATAATCCCTGAGCTGTATACACAGTGCATCTGGAAGGCGGTGGGTATGGGGGGGTTTACGTGCGCTGCTCAGGATGTGGTCTGAGAAGGCAGCCAGTGGTGGCCAGCTTCTCCCCAAGCTGGAGCCAACCCATGGCACGGGCTCCATGTTCTGCTCACGGCATGGGCTCGGAGCCTAGAATCGGAGTGTCTCCTGGATGGCCTCTGAAGAGTTGTCGTCCAGCCTCTGCCTTCCAAATCCACGCCAGCACACCCCACCTTCAACCCTAGGGTCAGCCTGGGTCTGATACCACCCCAGAAGCACAGATTCTCTTCCCTGGCACCTTGAGATCCCAGGAGATGGCAGCCAATGGAATTCTCCCAACTGCCTCCAGAGGGAAGAGCAAGGAGGTGGGGAACCCAGGCTCGAATCCCTATGCTCTGCTCCTTCTGTTGCTGGGCCAGATGAATGAAGAGAACAGGCTTCCAGACCTCTTAAACTCACACCAGAGCCCCAGGCTGGGAATGGGAGGGACGGTGGGCCATCTTGGTAAGGAACTTTGGACCCTAGAATGTTGGGGTTAAGTGTTAATAATTATCACCATAATAACTACGTTTAATTGAACACCTACTATATGAGCCAAACATAGTAACTAACTGTCCATCGCTTTGTAAGTCCTCCCTTGCTGAAGCTCATGTCAGTTACCCCGTTTGGGTGTGTCACTCGTTTCCTCCTTGAAAAAAACAGTTGCCATTGAGTCAACTAACCGTAACTACTAACCTAAAGGTAGCTGGTTGGAACCCACCCTGTGGTACTGCAGAAGAAAGGCCTGGTGATCTCCTTCCATTAAGATCACAGCCAAGAAAACCCTATGGGGCAGTTCCACTCTGTAACACATGGGGTCCCCGTGAGTCGGAATTGACAAAAAGGCAACGGGCTTGGTTGTTTTTTCCCACCTTGTGAGTCAGGACGTTGAGAAGCTCTTCCCGTACATCATCGCATTAAGTCCTCGTACAAACCCCGTGGGTGTAGTCGGTATTATGGCCTTTTTAGAGTTGAGAAAGTTGAGGCCCAGTGAGTTTGAGTCTTGCCCAAGGTCAAGTGGCTAATGAGGGACAGGGGGAGGATTGGAACCCGGATTAAGAACCTAGTGCTCTTTCTTTCAGACATTGCAGGCTCTACTTCACAAACATCCTTAGATAAATCCCTGGCCCTGTGGGGCCTCAGTTTCCCCAAAACAAAGATGTTGGACTTCGTAATCCCAAACGCTGCCTTCTAGATTTTAAAAATGCCATAGTTGAATGGGCCAAGTGTCTATTTTTAATCTCGTACAGGGGGCCAGTAAAAAGAGAGCACTGCTCAGCTCCATGCTGTGTGACCCTGCATAAGCCGCTGTGCCTCTCTGAACGATGCTTGAGTCAGCCACAAAACGGCAACAATGAAACCTTCCTTTTAGGAAATCAGGAGGTCAGGATGAAGTGATCTCTGGGTCAGAAGTTCAAGGTTAATTTACAAGGCTCTCATCACCGTGACCAAGACTGAGGCCCTTGCTGTCTACAACAAGGTCACCTCAGACTTGTTCCCTGCCCAAGCCACAGGGGACAGTGCTGCACAGTGGCTAAGAGTCCACACTTAGGAGTCAACCAGACCAGGTTCCAATCCCAACTCCTCCCCTTTCTAGTCCAGGGATCAGGAATGAATCACCTCTCTTATCTGAGCCTCGGTGGCTGCAAAACGGGGTTAATACGATTACCTTTTTGGAGTCCCCGAGTTGTGTGAACAGTTATCACTCTAAGCTGCTAACCAAAAGGTTGGAGGTTCAAGTCCACTCAGAGGCACCTCGGAAGAAAGGCCTGATGATCTACTTGTGAAAAATAAACACAGTTCTCTTCTGGCACACATGGGGTCGCCATGAGTCAGAGTTGACATGACGGCAATCGGTTGGTTAGGGTTATCATGAGCATGCCATGAATCAGTGATGTGAACATGGTGCCTGGCGCACAATAGATGCTCAGCAAATGTATGTGCAGAAAAATCAGACCATGACGTATCTTCGAGGACCAGCAGCAAAAACTACCCCTTGTCCCACGGTGGGGAGAAAGCAAGGCCACTTCCAGTTTGCTGAGTCTGGGCCAGATGAAGCCAGCAGAGCTCAGAGATGAGCCAGGATAGTGTCCGGAAGCCGTGGTCCCTCTCAGCTTTGGCTCAGAGCAGACATCACCCTGGGGCCGGATGAGGAAGCCATGCCATCTGCCATCCCCACCTTCAGCTCAGCTGGATCTCCCTTTCCAGCATCCCACATCCTCTGGGACAGACTCTGTGGAGCATGTTTTCACAGTTTATTAAAGTCCCAAGAGCCCTCGTGGTGTAGTGGTTAATGGAAAGGTCAGCAGTTTGAACCCACCTGCCACTCTGCTGGAGAAGGATGTGGCAGTCTGCTTCCATAAAGATTTACCGCCTTGGGGCACTTCTACTCTGTCCTGCAGAGTCGCTATGAATCAGAATCGACTCGATGGCAGTGGGTTTGTTTTTTTATTAAAGTCCCTCAGTGGGAACCGTTACCATCCCATCTCTGTTGGGCAGGGCGTGTTACCATCCCATCTCTGTTGGGCAGGGTGTGTTACTGTCCTGTCTCTGTTGGGCAGGGTGTGTTACCGTACCATCTCTGGCTTCATTTCTGCCTCTGGGGCATGAAGATCACACAGCATAAGGTGAAGACGAAAGAAAATCATATATGTGATGCAGTTAGCAAAATGACCAGCCCTTCGAAGGGTCTCAAAATATAC